CTTTCCCTATGCCCTTCCCCGCTTCCACCTTCCTTCCACACTGTGTCCAGTGTCCATAACTATTTTCAATGCATTTATGGCCTCCAACCTTTCAGTCTCTGCTACAGAACGTGGGCAATCTTAACATTTTAGAGTTGGACGAAGCCTTAGAAACCACCCGCTACCTTATTTTACAAATTAGGAAGGACTCCTGGAGGCCAGGGAGCCTAAGATAACCTGTTAATGGGAGGACCAGGGCTGGAAAACCCTTGGGACCTGATGACCCCTAGGGTCCGCTCTCCCTGAAGGCAACAACTAGCATAGTTTTGATTTCAAAGGGAGATCAGAGGGAAAAAATAACACAAAAGAGAAAAATATATCTTACTTCTCAGGTTCATGGAGCTTAGTCAATTCTTGCTCATTTCTGAGAGGGTAGGAAAATGAAACCGAAAGCAGTCTTCTCATTGAGGGTGAAGGGAGAAAAAGGGGGAAAGAAAGGAATTATTCAAATTGACATGCTCTTACATGATTGCTTGCAAAAACAATCACTTTTTGATGATACAGCAGCCTTATCAGGAGAAATAATTTATAGATACCATTTCAAAAGGGAGGAGAAAGAAATCCCACGCAACCCAACTGTATAGCCATGCAGAAGGAAATATTGCTTAGAAAAAAACCACCACTAAACAATAAACTTCTCCTGCACTTTATATGTTGAAAAGGTTTGACTGTAAATCCTCACTTTGACATTCATCCTAGATTCACTTTAGAGGCAGCCCACAGACTCAACAGGGCGAGAGAAAACACTAAATCATAATTACCTCATAAAAGCCAAGCTTGTTTTTCTGAATGCTCAAGAACTCGTACAGCTTCTCAAAATATCATAAATCTATTGTGTTCTCTCCTGTTTTACTTAACAGCCAATTAATGGTGCTGTTTAAAAGAATTAAAGCCAAGGCTGGGAAGGGGGAGCGAGGAGGGGAAAATAAGTCTTTAAACTTTGCCTAGCACACTGATACCGTGTGCAGAGAGAACCCTCATTAAAGATCCGCTCGTTAAAAGACTCGGCTGCAGAAAAATCTTGCCACAATCCACGCCTATTGGTATGATCTCGTTCTCATTAGCATACTGAAAGGAAAACATTTTTCAACAGAATCTTGAGTCAGTTTTAATATCCTACAGGATGACATTAGACTTGATGGCAAGAGCTCTCACTTTTCTTGGGGAAGTCCCTCCCCACCACCTGAAGGATCTGGGCTCCAGGTTGAGTAGAACAGAAGCAGTAGGTCGGGTCATAACAAGGCAGACACACCCTCCCCTTCCCTCCTCACAGAGGTCCCAAAACCACCTGGCCTCCGTCCTGAACTTAGTTCCACATTCCAAAGGAAGATGGTAACAACCTCACGTAGTCTCAGAGGGCTCACCCACAACTTATCACTCTTAGGACTGGAGCTCCATCAGCTGCCACCCTAAATTCTCAGTGAAGACGGAGACACCTGGGTGTGGGGACGCCTGGGCAGCAGCTGAACTTGAGCACGGAGTGATGCAGAACAAGTGCATTCGGGTCCTGACCTCATAACCTGTGACACTGGGCAAGCATGCCCTTTGGACACAGTTCCTGGCTCTAAAACAGGAAGACATTGGTGACCACCACTGACCCACATGGCAAAACCATTCCACAGTTTCTTAGAATTCTACTTTGGTTGTACATGAATCTCTGTAGAGTACTGTGAGGTATGGCCAGGGCATGAATCTGAATTTCTCTTTAAAGAAAATATTAAGACAGAGAGAAACAGAGAGTGAGAAAGCAAATCACCATGTCCAGGGCTTGAACCATGGTCACCTATATGGGAGTCCAATGCCTCAACCACAATGCAGGCCTCTGACTCTAATACCAGTAAGGCACTAGGATAGATGCCCAGCCAGATGGAAAGACGGTCTGGTCATTAGGTAGGTGATCATCTGAGACAACTAGGATGGCCTGCCAATGGGAGCTGACTGAACATCCTCCTGCTCTCTGGTAAATGTCAAGATAGTTCTGAGTGGGGGGTTAAGAAAAGAGGGGGAATGTAAAATGATGCAGCCAGCCAGCCAAAGGCCAGAACCAGATGACTATGTGAAACTGGGAATTAAAGAGAAGAGCAGAAAGAGCATGCGCTTTGATGCCAGACAACATGGCTAGGTTCTCATCCATCTCAGACCAAATGGCCCGAGGCAAGTTACCTACCTGCTCTGAGCCTCAGTTTCCCCGTCCGTAAAACAGAGATAGAGTGGGGAGACACATAAGAGACAAAACTAAACACACAAGGCAAAGTATAGTACATATCAAAATTTATTCTTCATTATTCTTCAAAATACCTATCAAGTTTTCCTCTCAAAGCATCTCCCCCATGGATTTAACATAGCCAGGTTTTTTTCCAACAGTAGAACAGATCAAATTTTTGGCTTCAATTTATGGGCCATTTTGGATGGACAAAAAAAACATGTGTTGTAAATTGAATCACTAGAATCATTCTGATGCTAGGAGACGCTAATACCACGGGAGGTGCCCCGAGAACAGACACTACAGGAGGGAACTCACTCTGGACCCGGAGTTCACTGAGTGGAATTGGGAGCACAATCACTTATGCAAATTATATGAAATACATTCTCTTTGTCCTTGTCCTCCACCCCGCTCTCTCTGCCAAGCATACACAGTTGAATTTGTTTAGGTTGAATAAGTCAAACGCATGCAACTCCACTGTAATTACGAGCATACCTCACACACTTGGTGTGATGAGCAGGAGGGTTAGTGCCGGTCAAGTGCACAGCATGGGGCCTGGTAAGTTCTTGGTCAATGCATATTACTATTTTCCTCCCTCATATTTGGAGGCTCGTATATATGACTATTCTCGAAGAGAATGAGACAGATCACACTCTATGACACTTCTCCCCTCACTCAACATTTTATCCTGAAATGCCCTTGAAGGTGACAAGAAGTTAGGAGGAAGGAAGGAGGGAAGGATGCAGGGAGGAAGGGCAGAAAGAAGGTAGACCATTGAAGAAGGCCCATGTCAGCGCCGAGAGTTTCAGTAAGGAGGATACTAATGCTGCTGTCTCTGGGAGAGGTCCACACTTGAGTCTTTGTGTATTATCAGCTAATATTAATGACCTGCTTGTTGTTTGCCTCACTATGGTCTAGGCTTTTTCATGTCTGACCATCAAACAATCATTATAGTCAATAGCCTCTGCCCCTTCCCACCTGCTGGGTTGGATTCTGTGCTGCTCCTCTGGCCCTTGTCTTGGTTCACAGAATTGGGTTGGAGGGCAGAATGTAAGATTCAGCGTGGCTGGAGTGATGCACGTGGGGGTGAGCCATGCTTCTGATGGGGTAGAATTCAACAAGGAGTTGAAATAAGGACTGGGCTGGGGCAGAGCACTGAGCTGAGGAATGAGTGGGACTTGAGATATTTGAGGAGTTTGGGAAAAAAGAGAAATAATTATGGGGTGAAGTGGGGACAGTCACTGGTAAAGTGTGAGAGAGGACCTCTGAAGGAATTTCAGCATACCAGGAATCAAATCCCATTGGAACGGGACAATGTCTTAGCTAGGCTTTAAGTACATTTTAGTAACTAGTGATTTTTTTTTATTAAGTTTGCCAGAGAGCATGTGAGTGGTGAGAGAGAGAGAAAACAGAGAGAAAGAGATGGGAAGAGGAGAAAGCATCCCCCAGTGGAGCACAGTCACTCTGCAAGCCCTTCTCCTCCACTGCTTCACCTTGTTGGGATCTGGGGCCTGCATATACATGTAACAGGTGCCTGAAGCATGTCTCCAGCCACCAGGTCTGGAACTCAAATCTAGGAGTCGGCCATGTGGGGTCCGGCTGACTTAACCACCAGGCCATGGTCGTGTTATTCCTTATACTTCTTTTGGTCAGGAGTCATGATTTCTGTTTCTCCATCTTTAACCCAGAGTCTTGGAGCTCTTTGCTCTTTTCTGCTTCACATAGTGAAATTTGTCAGAATCAAAAGGGAGTCATTTGTGTCAACGTGGGGTAAATCCTGACTACACGGAGTCAGGGAAGGTCACAAAGGGGCAGTTCTCATGCAAGTTCGTCTGATAACAGCAACCACCACAAGGACTCGGCTGGAACCACAGCCTTGCAACACCTGTGTGAAACTGCTGTCCAGCCTGGACTGATATCACCCTATTATTGATCCTGGTAGCCAAGGATAATTGTTCTCAAACAATTTATGTAATCTCTCCTCATTTTTCTTTTAAAAACCCTCATCTTCCCTTATCTCCTTGAACATGGCCATGGCTTACTATGGCAAGTATATTCTGCATTGCAATACTCATGCCTGAATACATATCATTCTTTTTTTTTTTTTTCTGTTAGAGAGTCTTTCTCTCCATTATTTAGAGGTTGACAGCATTCACACTCAGTATCAACATTGCTCAACCTATGAAATATCGATTTTTAAAATGCCATTAAAAATGGCAGAGATTAACCAGGACCTCCAAATTTAGCAATATATAAAATGTCTCTTAAGTCCTACCTATAACCTGAGACATAATATATGAATGATTCTCAATTCAATGGCTTCTCCAAGTAAATCAGTAGAGGTTGTTTTCTCAGCCTGGGCTATTTTAGGCCCAGCTGTCCTTGACAATGAACTTGTGACAGATAATCACTCAGGGCAGGATGGCTCAATGGCTGATACCCAGAGAGGCCTGCACTGCCTCCTGTTTGTCTCAGACTTCTGTAGGTGCTCCCTCAAAGACTCAGGTGAGACCGGGAAACCTGTAAGGGACTAGTGGGACCATGCCACAGTCAAGGAAGCTTGACTGCAAATTAAGCAGCCAGTCTTCAGAGACCAGAGTCACCACCAAACATTTCACATAAACACTGCCCACTCCCTGCTCAATGCTCCGAACTTGCAGGAGAGCCCGTCGCCAGCTGAAGCTCACGTTTCACTGAGAAACATGCAGATAAGAACAGGTCAGGCTCTGCTCTGGGAAAATGGTCTCTGCTACTCATTTCCTTCTTTCTGACAGTGAATTTGTAGCGTGACACACTCATCCAAGACTCTGAGGACACCCTGCAAGCTAGTGAGTTAGCATTTCATTGTTGGATTGACTCACTGGATTGTTTTCATGATCAACGACTTGCAAACAGACTGTTCTGAAATTTTGGTTTTAACTTTCTACAGAGGCCATGACTTGAAGTTAACTGGATGGAAATCTTTTGCCCAGTTACAAATCACTCTGATCCTACAGGATTCTAATACTTGTTTTTGAGTCTATTAAAATTGAAGTGTGAAACCACTGTAATTCCAAGGGCTTTTTTTTTTTTATCATAAATATCTGGTATCACTGGGGTCTGGAGTTACAAGGCTAGATACAGATATGGTTCATCCATATTTACCGAAGCGAAGAGGAAAAGACAGTTTGGAAGATGGA